GTTCACCTCAGAAGGAGCCATGCCAATTGATTCCATGTATGAGGAGTTGATGGACTTTACAATATCTGGAAGACTGCTTAGATACTTGAAGGTGTTGTTAGCGTACATGTAACGCACCAATCGTTCCTTCAATCGTTTAATTCCGTTTTCCGCAATCGATGCCTTCATGTTCCCAAACGCTAAGATATGATCAATTTTTTCACGTTTCAAGTAATCCTTGACAGATTTATTCACAAATTCTCCACCCTGAAACAGAATCATCATCTAGGTTAGAATATTGTAGAATATTTAATACAATTGCAAGATGAGTTGCTTTGATATAGTAATTCTATTTTCTCTCGCCAGATCTATATGTACACCAACAGTGAACTATCATACCTGATCACTTCTTATCTGTAGCGGAGTAGGCATATCCTTTTTTAACGCTTCAAGTGCCTTGACAACCTCTCCACCTCTTTTCGATGTTAAGGGATGCACCCACATGTAACGGGAAAGCGCGCTAACAATCACTAACAAATAGCTTATCTTTGAATTATACTTTGAATATGTTTTCAAATCAGCTAGATCCATATCGTACATTTGATACATGGATGAAACGATAATTTTGCGACGATTCTTAATTTTCTTAGGTTTTCTGAACAATGCATAAGACTCTTGATTGTTAATCCAGCTCTTGACTTGAGCTTGAGTGATACCCAATGACCTAACTTGTCTCCACAGACGAATTGGACTCGAAAACGAGCCGGGTCTACCTAACGTGTAATAGGCCGATTTCAGAGCTCTTTTCATGGAACTTGATAATACTTTTTTCTTAGTACTTCTAGTCTTTTTAATAGCCTTCGTCATCGTAAGGTTGTAACTTCAACAAGTGAACAGAATAATTGTTTTGTGTTTATATTTATTAAAATTAAAAGTACAATTATAAAATTGTTGATGGGAGGGTGAGCATAATATCATTGTACTTCACTTTTAGAAAATACTTGACAAACTCATCATTTTCTCTAAGATTGTGCTTTGAAAATGAATTGACAATACATCTCATGCTAGTTTTCCTACATCGTTTATTTAAATAGTATACACAGTGATGACCACACGTTGTGTCTAGTCCTTGAATTCTAGTGTTGTTGTATAAAAAATGCGTACTATTGTTCACAAGAATATCTTGAAATATAGAATTATAATAGTCAGGCGAATGTCCCATGGAATCATAAAACTCTGCTGGTGCGTTATCATAAAACGCAAATGCACACCAATGCTCTCCAACCATCGAACTATCCTGTGTGTTAACAATGAAATAGGATGGTCTTTTCGTAACTTTTGTAGGTAGCTCATCCAGTGCGTATACACCGTGGGTTTTTAAGCGCAGACAAGCGTCCGAATTCATGATTCGCTCCAATTGATACGTATTCATTATGTAACTGTAACACCGCGAAAGCGGTCAATCTCCAGTATTCGATGGAATGTTCCTAAAACGATCACGCACACCGGTTCTTGTAGGGCAGTCTCAAAGCGTCCTTCAAGTTTCAGTTGCCCTCCTTTAAGTAACGGGAACACAGTTTTATTTTCGTCTGCCGCATTCAACTGGAAACGAAATATCGAAAATCCTGATTTGAAATCGTCCACCTCGATATCAGTATTGTTGTCGTGATTTGGTAATGATGTTTCAAAGAGTCTCAAATATGCCGACAGATATTGTTCACTCTCAATTAGATCGCTGGAAAATTTTAATGTGAGTGGTTTCGAAGGTACATCTTGAGAATCCACCTGAGTTGTTAGACTGGATAGGTTGAAGTGATCCATGTACAGCGGATTTGTGTCATATGTACCAGCATAGGCGCGGGCTGATACGAAAAAAGCAGTGAGGCAAGAGGGTATGCGTCCTTGAAATATGTTATCCCAAGAAAAGTTAAAGTTGCCTGATGCTAGGCTTTTCACTTTGACTTCCACATCCTGGTAAGGATATATAGCAGGCGTTCGAAGCATCACCTCGTTGTGTGCTTTAATAACGGCGGGATTAACTTCTACCATGCAAGCCTCGAAGTAAGCATCTGTTACAATTAACCGCCATTTTTGTGGATCATCGGAAACTAAACAAAATTCACTGCTATTTGGCCATAATTTTATTTTGACTTCAACTCCATTGAGAAGCAGGCGATCCGATTGAAGAAAACTTTCATATATCGGTCCAGTTAGTTCTACTTCTCGGCTGTTTCTATAATCCATATATCGCATTAATAGTCCTTGGTTCCCTCCTGTCCAAACATTATTTGTAGCGGGAAACATGTCATCTTTTCTATAGCCCTGCGCTTGCATCCATGACTTTTTATCTGCTGAAGAAAAGTTTTGTAGTACGTGCAGATAAGCTTTGTACGCGAAATCAGGCGTGGCCTCTGTAATGGATTTTTGTTGAACTTGAATGTCAATACGATTCCATAATGTTTGTAAAAGCAAGTTAATAGGACCGCATTTTTTAGGTCCCTGTATGTCACTTGGATCCCAATTCATAGTATCACCATTAGCCTGAACTATTTTTACTTTGACATGCAGGCGAGATCGTTTTAAACTCAAATAGTCCATACCATTGTTTGGTATATTAAATTCCACACAACTACCATGGGTGAGGCTTGAAGTTGGTCGATATTCCACCCATTTAAAACGAGAAATACTTGTATCAGTTAATGGGGTGTTAAAAAGCATTAGTTCTGTGGATGACGATTCATCACTTCCTACCAGCTTTTCCGCCATTTCGTTTTTTCTTAGTTAATATATCGCTGACTCTGGTAGTTTTATATCTTTTCTTTAAATTGTTTGTTTTGGATTTTCTTTTTATCACAGCTTTCTTCTTTTGCGGAGCTCTTTTAATAGGTCTACGTCGTTTGCTGTCAATTAATCGATTTGGTCTACCTGGAGGTTGCAGAGATCTTTTAAATGTATTCGATCTTTTCCCTCTCTTCAATTCCGCACTTGCTCTCTGCACTACAGCTTGTGATGGGCTCACTAAATTAATAGTTGACCCACCTTCTTGGTTGTTTCTTATTGAATATCGGCTATCGTTTAATGAAATGTTCTTTTGAGATTTTTTAGAGTTCATAGGTAAACTGCGGTTCACGGATGATGCGAAAAAGTGCCCCCATTTAGTATCATCTGGTGTGTAACTAGATAGTCTCATCTTGAAGTCTATACAATATGCGCTTTTTTGAAGTGTAACACACAAAAGAACGTATCGTTGTTAAATGAAAAAGCTTCGGTACCCTTTGCTTCTTTTATACTGATAGATATGTGTTGGAATCCTGATGGTATAACGGGTGTATAAAGAACAGGGTTATAAGATTGACAATTCCCAGTGTAGAAAATGTCATCCTGGGTAGCGTGTACTTGTCTTAACAACTGAATATTTTCACCGCCAACTATGGTACCGTAACAAAGATTGCACATCACATTCATTACGATTCTCCCGTATACTGTTGGATGTCTCAATTCCACCAATCCACACTGCCATTGTTCATCAGGATTCAATGAAATATATTCGGGTAATTTAACTGTGAACTTGGTATTATTGTTAGAAGGATATGTATCCATAGAATCAGTGCTGTTCAAGTATATATAAAATTGTGAAATCATGTTTCAACCTCAAGAGATCTAGTATTTATGAATATTTTTTCTTAATCAAGTATATTTATGATATACTGGGACGTTATGCATCTCAAATTGAAGCTACCACAAACCTCAGGTTATCACTATGGTTACTACAAAAGCAAGCATCTCATCATTAGTAAAAATGTTATTAACCCCTGGCATCTCATTCCTGGTATCTCACTTTAGGCACCGCAAAGTAGTCTCAGCATCTCATTTCTGGCATCGCATTTTTAGACACCGCAAAGTAGTCTCAGCATCTCATTCCTGGCATCGCATTTTAAGACACCGCAAAGTAATCCCGTGCGCATTTTTAGACACCGCAAAGTAGTCTCAGCATCTCATTCCTGGCATCGCATTTTAAGACACCGCAAAGTAATCCCGTGCCTCCTTAACATACACTACTCACGTTGCCTTTACATTTTATCTGGAAGTATGGCCATGGCGTACATTGGTTGAAATGGTTCCACGGACTATTGAACAAATGAACCGACACCCAATTACACACTCTCTTAATATAAATTGAATTCAACTCATGTTGTTCAAATCATAAAATGAGGATTTTGCCATAAAAAAGAACCGACGTGGAGTTTTCCAGATATCTCTAGAAGATTAATGTTTACGTTGGTTCTTCTGCCTTGGTGCCTTTATCAAATATGGAAACATTATTCGACTTTACAGTCTAACGAAATTGTCAATTTCCGGTTATTAAAATGGGGTTCATTGCAAGCGTCGGTTACCGTAAATACTCTTTGTCATATGTCAAATAGCCCTGATTGGGCCATGTGTTCGCAAAGATCAATTAACTCACAACTGATAATTAACCCATCGCAAATTGACTAACTCTAACTAGTTCCTAAAATTATATCTTGATGTAATTATCATAATTTTGGATAACTAAAGGCTGAAATCAATAAGAAGTTTTCCACTGTTCCCATTGGGAAAAGTAATTTACTTGATCGCTTTTAGAATCCCAACTAGGAATAGTGTACCGTTGATTTACATAATTAAGAACGTGTTCGGCTTATGCAGGATCTCGTATTCCTAATCAACATTTTGACGTTATGGTATCATATCAATGTCTATCAATGTGAAGTCATTTTCATAAAGTATGAATAAGAGTATATTACTTGTCTTCATTATTAAAATATACAGTGACGTTTTCCCAATCTGCTTCAATAACATAATACCGATTTTCCTTAGTCAAATGTCTATGAAAACACCATAAAAATGGTAATTGTTCTATAAGAGCTCAATTATTTCAGGGAATCAATTTTATTTGGCATTGATATGCGTTGGCACCGGTGAGAAAATTGTAATGTGGATACAGCGAGGGCCAGAATACAAATGACGTTGTCTGATCAGCATGTCAATTAAATAGTCTTTTATTCGCTGTATAGAGAAGGTCCGGATGAAGACTCGACTAAGGAAAATACATAAAATATTTTGTTACCATAGTCTTGCGGGAATTGATGATAGCAACATTGGAACATCTTGGCGCATGCGCATTAGATTAGTCAGTACCATACCAAAATCGAATAGCGATTATGCCTTTCTAAAGATGGACTCAATAATGGGATTACAAGTTAATGACTAAGAAAATTATGTCTTACGTTCTATTTGGGCCAAAAATGATATTAACACATTGAAATAAATCGCCATACGATGTCACTGTGGTGGAAAAGGTAATGAAACGTGAAACCCAGGATTAACCAGGAGGACTTCTAGAAGCTGCCATTATGCTTGAAAAGACGCTGTTCTTCCCCGTAATATTCTCAGCGTTGTTTATCCAACAGATAACGGCTCAACCGGAATATCCGATAGGTAAGTAAATTCCATGATGATACACGACCCCGAGCTGATAAAACAATCGTTCAATTGGAAAGATTTCAGCAGAAAGATGAATTAATATCAGAATTGTCAAATAAATCCGATTCTATCTCATTTTGCGAAAACATATCAATCTTCTTGACTGATTCTAATCAAGTCTTGTTTTAACCGAGATTATGGTGTCATGCGAAACTAAAATAGCTTTGCAAATTAGAAAACATTCTCATCCTAATAATATCACAATTTCAGATTATGACTTCCTTTTTGATTTCCTTTTTATTTTCAATTTTTTGATATATCCAAATAGTATATACTATTCGAAAATTATACCATTCGAGGTATTACGGTCTATAATTGAGGGATATAATTGTAGAGTAAACGATGTGAGATGTCGACTGTTTTGTTGATTCAACAAAAGCAAGCCGTGCTTAGCACTGTTCCACAACTAGATACTTCGACGGAACGTCAATGTAACAAAATGGATGAACTTCCTGGATACGATTTTTTTGTTTTCTCGATTTAAACCAAAAAGTCAAATTGCGGATTATTATTTGGCACAAAGTTAGACAATATATATATATATATACCAGGAAGTTCATCCATTTTGTTACACATACAACTAGTTACTTAGACGTTCCGTCCGGGCTTATGGCAAACAATTTGGTATTTATATTTCATATATTCACTTTCTGTCACCTTAACAAACTTTTTATAATCATGACATTAAGCTTTTTTACGGTGAGTAGTCAATAGTGTTGACCACCAATGGACAAATCAAAGGTGAGTATTTAGAATAAGGTGCTGGACAATTCACGATATAAACCAGGAATTGTTTTAATAGCAAAACTCGTCAAAAATTGGTGAAACGTGTGTGCAATCATGAAATAATGGCGTGTCTTATAAAATTCATCTGATAGATAGAAGGCCCAGGGAAATTTAAAAGATGTAGCTAAATAGAAACGAAAATGATGACCTGTGTCAGTAACCTGTTTTCGTAACGTCACTTTAAATCAGTGATCTCATTTGACAAAGGTTTAATCCAATTTTGATGAGTTACTAGCTGTACACTAAAATCACTACTGCCCTACCGCTTCATTCTTGGAACAAGATTATAAAAGCATTGACCTGTGATTAAAGTGTCAAACATTCTCAGCATTGTCCTATGATTAAAGTGTCAACTATTCTCAGCATTGTTCTATTATTAAAGTGTCAAACATTCTCAGCGTTTATCTGTGATTATCAGTGTCAAACATTCTCAGCATTGTCCTATGATTAAAGTGTCAACTATTCTCAGCATTGTTCTATTATTAAAGTGTCAAACATTCTCAGCGTTTATCTGTGATTATCAGTGTCAAGCATTCTCAGCATTGTCCTATGATTAAAGTGTCAAACAGCGTGGATCTTTTATTTGAATGTCAAACATTCTTTGCATTGTCATATGATTTAAGTGTCAAACATTCTTAGCATTGTCCTATGATTAAGTGTCGAACATTCTCAGTATTGATCTATGATTTAAGTGTCAAACATTCTCAGTATTGACCTTTGATTAAAGTGTCAACCATTCTCAGCATTGATCTTTGATTTAAGTGTCAAACATTCTTAGCATTGTCATATGATTAAAGTGTCGAACATTCTCAGCATTGATCTATGATTTAAGTGTCAAACATTCTCAGCATTGACCTGTGATTAAAGTATCAAACATTCACATCATTGACCTGTGATTAAAGTGTCAAACATTCACATCATTGACCTGTGATTAAAGTGTCAAACATTCTCATCAGGCAAAATTGCGAATTCAGTCTTACTTAATTGCAAAATAGAAATCCAACAGCTATCGTTTCAGCATATTTTATGCATATTATACGAACAACTAAGTATAATATGCATGCATAAAATCCTTATTTGCTCCATCAATGGCGTCACAAAAGTTCGCCTATTTTCAAAATGGCCGTCCATTTTATTGGCGAAAAATAATGTTTCAGCTCCATCAATTTGCTTGAAATATAGAAATACTTTATCTGCTAGATTGAACATAATATCTACAAGTTTTTGCGAAATGCCACCTTTTATTATGTTATTATGTCGCTTTTATTCCCATAATAAAATGGATTAAACATGTAAACATAAATCAATCAAACAATACAACAATAACCAAAACATATATAACATTTATACACGTAATAAACAAAGAACAAAATATAACAAAACAAATAATTATAAAAGTTTACAAAGTTAAAAGCAAGTAAAAAATTGCACCTCTGGGGTTTTAATTGCACGTCATAACTCAACGGTTATAGCTTATTGGAACGGTGTGTTTAATTCTATATTAGAGTTTTTAATTATATTGCTAAAGTAAGGCAACACTATGTTTATCGTTTTCAAATTAACACAGTCGCTAAAACAAGAAAGGCCTTTCACTGACACTGGAAGAGGGGCTTTAACGAATTCTCTGAGAAAAATCCCAGCTTCAGACTGACCTATAGCCACAGTGATTCTATTCAGCATACTGTTTCGTTCTGGAGCAGTTTCCGTGCACATTGCTGCTCTGTGTGAGATAATGTCTCCCTCTAGTACTCCACAATATTCACAAAGCTCAGGTTTATTTGGGTCAAGTGGAATAGTTAGAAACCTTGCTATGACAGTTGCATATTTAAGAAGACCGGGAATCTTTCTTGAGTACAGCCATAGTGGGTTTGGTTCTAGATTGTTTTGTATTTGTCTTAATCTAGTAAAGCTATGATCATTTTCCGTTCGTGATTTCCATTCGTCATTTTGATGAGAATTTATGGCAAATTTGACGATACGTTTCCATATGTGTTTTGGAGGGAAATACCCTGTATCAATGTATTGATTTAATGACTCGATTTCATATTTAGCTAATATCCTTTGTATTTCTGGAATAAAACCACGTTGTGAATTTGAGGTCTCATTATGATGGAGTCTCATTAAGAAAATCTGTTTCGACAATTTAGCGTTATCTAGATGAACCAATCGTCCTAGAAATTGTAATTTCCTCATCTCAACCATAGATTCCATCGTATTAATACCAAGCATTCCCAGGGAAATATCAGTTCGAGTCCATTTGACTTGGTCCTGTAAAGCTTTTGTAATAAATCGTTCTGCCTTCTCGAGTCGTAACGCCTGTGCGTTCGTGATATTGGTCCATAGTTCTGACCCATACAAAGCTGCAGGAATACAAATACATTTTAAAAGTTTAAGGCCTGTGAGTGGGTTCAGCCCTCGGGGGTGCGTCCCTGCTCCTACGAGTGATGCAAAAGTGCCTCTTAAAGACTGACACGCTGCATTAATTTTAACATCTGATGAAAGAGAATGGCTATACATATTACCTAAATGCTTAATTTCATCAACTTCCTGAAGTTCCTGTCCATTGGTTGTTCCCCATCTTCTTTGTAACTTACATTGAGAATGCAATCGTGGTGATTCGCCGATTGTCATAACTACACTCTTCTGTAGGTTGTATTGATATCTCCACTTATTGGAATAATTAATGGCAACATCAATGAGATATTGTAGGTTGGACTTAGTTGTCGCAATAATGGTTAAATCATCAGCCAGTGTCGGGCATCCCGTTTCTAACGTCCCTATAGATGCAGTTTGGTGTGTTTGTTGGAGTTCAATGAGTAGATCATCTATGAATACCAGGTACGTCCAGCCAGACAGGACTCCGCCCTGCCTTATAGATTGATGGAGTGGGAACCAGTCCGAATTGAAACCACCGAATCGTATTTTGGCCCTCATCTGACGAAAAAGCTGATAAAATATATTAAAAAGTCTTCCAGTTATTCCAGCATTGTGGAGCTTCCAGAGAAGGGCATCGTGACATACCGTATCAAAAGCACGTTTCGTGTCAAGACATGCAACGTACACTTTGCTCCCTAATTCAAGGTTATGGTATAGAGTTTCGGTGAGGTTAAAGCTACAAGTTATGCTGCAAAGCTGTTCTTGATACGCATTCTGCTGGTTGCTCTTCAGGATTGGCTTCCCTACCCTTTCCTCAAGTTCCTGTATTCTCTGTTTTATAACTCGTTCCCATAATTTCTCTATGACAGGTAAAAGAGTTATGTCTCTGTAATTCTCAGTGCTTGAACGGCTTTTACCCCCGCCCTTAAAAAGCTTAGAAATGACCCCATCGTTAAAAGCAGAAGGTGTTTTCAAAGTCACAGTTATCATGTTATAAAGTTCTGCGAGCGTTTGAAATAAAACATGGCCACCATATATTATGTGTTCATTTGTTAGTTTGTCAATGCCACCAGCCTTCTGTTTTTTAAGTGATTTGGCTATTAATTCTATGTCACCGTGTGTAACTGGCGTGTGAAGAATAGGATCTTCAGAGGGGAACGGTTCATTTAAGTAAGTAGTGACGTCATGTTTTATTTTACGATAAAAATCTTTATCAAACTGGTCTGACTTTAATTCACTGAAAATACGTTCAGAATATATTTTAAATTCATTTGCTATTTCTTGCGGCTTACGTGTAATTGTTCCATCTTCACGGAGAAGTTCTTCACATGTTGCGACAGAGCGTTGGCGTCGACGTTTCATTATCAGTTTTTGGTTGGTTTCGTCAGCAGTGTCGATTTCGGCGTATACGGATTCCACCCACATTTCTTCTAATCTATGCTGTTCCTTTCTAAACAGAGTCTTGGCTGATTTGTAGGCTCGATACGAAGCATGATCCATTCCTCTAGGTCGTCCTGCACATAGCCAAATCCAACGAAGTCGCTTTTGCTCACGATGTAATGCTTTGAGCTCAGAATTCCAGTATGGCTTAAGAAAAGGTCGAAATTTCTTTACGGGGATATGTTCCTTAGATGCCAATGACATCTTCAGGACAATTTCATCATTAAGGTGGGACGTGTCAGTGAAAAGAGCTTTCTTTGCTTTGTCAAGAGTATCCTGCAATGAGAGTGATAAACTATTAGTATACCCATTTTGAATTTGACTAATACTTAATTTGTTCCAGGCTAAAGCAG